GGTACCATGTGACCTGCTGTGACCAATCACAGCAGGTCACATGACAGTTGTATACAATGGATGGCTTCATTCATGATGCCATCCATTGTATACTAGTGCCTAGCTGTGAATGGTCACAGCTAATCACATGCACATGTCATGTGATTAGCTGTGACCAAATCACAGCTAAGCACAAAAAAAAAAAGAAAAAAAAAAGCTGAATGAATCGATTTCATTCAGGTAAATGCTTGCTTATAGCAAATAATTCTTTGCTATAAGCAAATTGTGTAAAAAAAAATATATATATATACTGATCACTTCCCCAAAGTAGTACAGTGTTACTATGGTAACATTGCACTACTTTGGTCATAGCAAAATATGAAAAACAAATCTTAAAAACAATAAAAAAAATGTAATAAAAAATTAAATATAATAAAAAAATTAAAAAAATATATATATATTTTTTTTTTCATACTGTCACCAGTCAGTGTCCCTGATCACCGCCATGCCAGTTATATGATGACGCTGTACTGCACTGGTGACAGTATGTAAAAAAAAAAAATAGTGAAAATAATTTTTTTAATTTTTTCATTTTCCGAAAAATTATGACATAAAAATACAACTTCAAAAAAACTCGCCATGCCTCTTATGAAGTACGTCGGACTGTCTACTCTGCAAAAAGGGGTCATTTGGGGATATCTGTACTGTTCTGACATTTGGGGGATATCTGTACTGTTCTGACATTTGGGGGGATATTTGTACTGTTCTGACATTCTTGGACCTCAAGAAATTAGATTGGCTGTCAGTACTTCAGGATTGATCAATATTCAGATCTATAACATAGTTTGTGAACTTTATAACTTTCCTACAAACTAAATAATACATCCTAATTTTGGTTATTTTCACCAAAGACATGTAGCAGAATACATCTCGGCCTAAATTTATGAAGAACAATTATTTATTTGTAAACTTTTATAACAGAAATAAAGAAAAATGTGTTATTTTCAAAATTTTTGGTCTTTTTTTGTTAATTTAGCAAAAAATAAAAACCCCAGCGGTGATTAAATACCACCAAAAGAAAGCTCTAGTTGTGTGAAGAAAATGATAAAATTTTAGTTTGGGTACAGTGTTGTATGACCGCGCAATTGTCATTCAAAATGTGAGAGCGCTGAAACCTGAAAAATGGCCTGGGCAGGAAGGTGTAAAATTGCACGGTATTGAAATGGTTAACCTGGGGTCTGGATGGTATGCAGACTGGTGGTTTGTATCCTCTCCCTGCTGCTGTTGCTGGGCAGACAAGCCTGTCAGCAGAGTGCCGGCGCCATCTTGGCTGCAGGGTGTCAGTGCGGGATAGAAGCTGGTCATTTTCGTGGGATTTCCCGGTGTTTTCCTTCTTCAGGTCATAGCCCATACGGATGGCAAGGGGTTAATGGCTCTAATGAGCTGTTAATCACTCCCTGGTGTTGTAGTGTGCCGCGATCGTGCTGGCGGGTAGACGGAGCTCTCTTCACTGAGCGTCCATCCCTGGACCCGGCCGCGCATGCGCCCCCCAACCTTTTATTTAAAATGCATCTGCGATTAGCCAGAACCGCCAACAAAACCAACTGTTGGGTATGCTCTAAGCCCCCACCCAGTCATCACATGTCCGCAATGGCCGCTGTTCATGCCCTATATGACATCCGTGTCGGCATGAAAAAGCAAGGGACCCCTGGTCAGCTCCCACGTAGACATTTGTCTGTAGAACATCAGTTTTAGTACCAATATCAGCTCTAGCTCCTGTAGGACCCTCGTCAGTCCATTATGGGTAACTGGACAGCTAGGCAGCCCTCAGGTGTGCTTTAACATCAGCTTTGGCACAGGTAACAAGTTTGTTGGGACTACCACCTGTGAGGGAGGTATAACTGTCAATCTGACTAACCAGACTTCCCTTCTGAGTAACCACACTGACCGACCAGACCACGTTTGTTGGAAGGACGGATGTGATGTGCAGACTGAAGGAGCAATCCCCCAGTCTGTGCAACTGTTGCTCAGTGCCAGAGGCCGAACGAAGAACTCCTCCTGCTCTGCTCTGACAGGTCCATACTATTTTCTGTGTGGTTCGGCAGCCTATAGAACATTTCCCCAGAACGCAAAAGGTTCGTGTGCCCTCATAAAGCTAGTCCCCGCATCCTATGTAGTGACGGATCATGAAGAGTTGATGGTCCACAAGAAGGCAGGGATGGCAGGGAGAGTTTGCAGGGAGCTGTTCTCTGAGGGCGACCAGGCATGGGCTTGGTTCCCCTCATGGACAGGTTGGGGAATAGAACTTATGAAGCGCCTGAACAATTTTTCTGTCATCGTGGATAGTATGTTTAACGAGACCGTAGAGGCTGTCAGAGAAATTGCCCAAGAACAACGGCAGATGGGAATTTTAGTGCTTCAGGAGAAGATGGCCCTTGATTACCTTTTAGCCGCCAAAGGGGGGTTCTGTGAGTTCATCGGAGAGGATTGTTGTACTTGGATAGAAGACACCGATGACAAGGTCCAGGCCCATATGGACAAAGTTAGTGAACTACAGGGAAAAGCTAGAGCTATAGCTAGTGAGAGTTGGAATCCGTTCAAGGGTTTGGGAGGATTGGGAGATTTCCTGTTCTCCATGGGATCTTGGTTGAAGGAAGTGGGAGTGTATGTCCTGATGCTTTTCTTTTTCATCTGCCTTTTATATGCCGCGGTGAGATGTTCCTGTTGCCTCATCGACCGTGTAAGCCAAGCTCGGGCAGACGACCACATCTCCATGCCCGCTCCGGGGATCCCACTCCAACCACTGATCGGGGGAAGACCTCACCAACCAACCACCTTCTCTACAGATTACGTCCTGGCTTCCCTCTAAATTTATCTCCCTGAAAACCATGTTCTCCAAGACCTCCAAGCAAGCTTAAAGCCTCATCGTTGTTTGTGTCTGCATTTTGGAAAACCATCTGGGTCGAGACCAGCCTTGTATGGCCCTGTCTGCAAGGGCAATTTGAGAATCTATTGCTGGATCTCCCCAGACCACCGTGGGATCACAAGCCTTATTCATATCACAAGTCTGTTTGTGGTTTTTGCAAGAGCCTTCCTGTAGTGAAGGTTCCAATGCTCTTGAGGATCATCGCTTCAATCAAGCCTGTTTGCGTTGAGTCTGCGTCGGGTCTTGTTGTTTCAGGTACCCCGTGGAGCTTTATTCTCAGGGACAACTACAGGAACTCTGGTCTAAGACCAACTCTTTAAGATTTTGAGAATACACCCATCAAGCTGAAGAAGATCAAGAAGGGACACGAGGAGAATATGATAAAACAGGAGGGAATGTCATGGAAATTTTGTATTGTTGGTTGAACTTTAAATGTGTCATATATGAGTGTTATTCATATGTCTCTCGTGTGTATAATTAAAGCTCTGAAGGCTGCAATTGGGCCATGCGCATGTACAATGTATGTATTACAGTACTCAGCTCGGTAATGGATGAGATGGCAGATCTGCACTTATAGACCGGCGTGTATACCACCACGGCATTCAATGCGAATGTCGCTGGCGGTAGGCCGCGGGCCTGTATCTACATATCAGCAGCATAGTACCACATGGACTTCGCATGGCCAGGCGCCGGGCAGTGCAAACTCCGCGTGTAGGCTCATGTATACCTTAGAAGCCACTACCGGCCTGAATTGTATCTGGATGGATGTGCTTTAATAAAGATCATATCAGGCCCATTCAGATACAGACTGACACTGTTTAATCTAAGGGATGCTTGTACAGACAATGTACATACTACTAGGAGCTGATAGCATGTAAAGGATGGGAAGCTTGCTCTCCACAGAGAGCTTATGGGGGAGGGGATGAATGGTTTAACTGGTTTTCAGTATAGATAAGAGGAAATGCTACACTCCAAACAGGATGTACATTCTCGTGTATGGACACCCCCTATACATTGTTCTGTGGGAGGGGACTGACCTGACCCCCCGTGTGTGGGGGGGCGTGTGTGTGCTTTTAATAAAAAAAAAAGAGTCTGGGGTTAGAGCCGGACACAAAGTGAATTCAACCTCCAACCTGAGAGTATCATCTGATTATTCCTGGGTCACGGGAGCTCCATTTTTCCCCACATCTCAAAAGAGCTACTCACGGTAAGGAAAAATTTGTTGAAAAAGAAATTTCAAGACAACTGGTATACTGCAACAAATGTTGATGGGACACTGGTACACTGTGACTGCTGTTGATGGGACACTGTTACACTGTGACAGGTGTTGATTGGACACTGGTACACTCTGACTGCTGTTGATGGGACACTGGTACACTGTGACAGGTGTTGATTGGACACTGGTACACTCTGACTGCTGTTGATGGGACACTGGTACACTGTGACAGGTGTTGATTGGACACAGTGAAACATGTGAAAGATGTTGGTGCACACTAGGGACCCTGGATGGATAACAAGCAGTAAATATGCTGTATAACTCACTAATCCCTGGCTTTCAGGCACAGATTGGCTGAGGAGGAGAAGCAGAGCTGATCAATTAAATACCGAACTGAGTTTACATTACATGATGGCTGTGAATGGACACAGCCATCATGTGCTCAGATAGCCCAATCACAGAGCCCATCTGCTGATCGGGGATGCGCTGTGTCCAAGGGACACAGACATCCTGGGAGTACAGCACGGCCACGTGTCTGTGCTCCCCCATGTTCTGAGAGACATATGTGTACATCCACACAGGACGGAGCTTGTCCCACCTGGCCTATTATATGCAGTGTCCAGGTGAGAAGCCGATCATTAACACAGTGATTTCCTATGATGGCCAGCTCCATCTAGTGGTGATAATGCTGTATTTTTCTGAAATACTTTCATAAGGAAAGCCACTAGATGGATCTGATGATCAGAGGAAATATCTCTGTAAATTGGAGCGACATTTGTCACAGAGGGGTGAATTCTGGTTACATTTAATAAACACAATATTAAAAATCGACCTCTAAGTGTTTGTGAAATCTCCCACCACAAATTGTACTCAGCCAATGACAGGTCAGGACTCCATTTTTATTCTTCTGCCATCAATGGCCAACCCGGTCCCACACTTCATCCATTTCTTTGGGGACCTCTGATCTCCTTATCAACTGTTTCTTCCATGAGGAAGATCAGCCATGGAGTATATCTGAGGTGTATATCAGGGTGTGCTTCTTCCCCACATGAGAGCTGGGATGTCCACCAACATTCATCTAGAACACATTTCCCGCACTCAAGGCACTAATACACCTCCAGGGTTGTGTGGGACCCCTGATGTACAGGAAGACAGTACTTTAGTGAGGAATATTTCCCTCACTCAGGACAGGAAAGTGGATTCTTCCCCGTGTGAGATCTCTGATGTTTGTAAAGATTTGACTTGTCTGAAAAACACTTCCCACACTCAGGACAGGAGTAAGGCTTTTCCCCTGTGTGAGACCTCTGGTGTTTGACAAGAGCAGATTTTTGAACAAAACATTTCCCACACTCTGAACAGGAATATGGCTTCTCACCTGTGTGAGACCTCTGATGATTATAAAGACTGGATTTATCTGAAAAACATTTTCCACACTCCGAACAGTAATATATTTTCTCCCCTGTGTGAGATCTCTGATGTCTGTAAAGATTGGAGTTCTTTGAAAAACATTTCCCGCACTCAGAACAGAAATATGGCTTTTCCCCTGTATGAGATCTCTCATGTATAACAAGTTCTGATTTTTTAAAAAAAACATTTCCCACACTCAGTACAGGAATACAGCTTCTCACCTGTGTGTAATCTCAGATGTCTAAATTGAGAAGACTTGTTTGAGAAACATTGCCCACATTCAGCACAGGAATACAGCTTGTCACCCAAGTGAGATCTCTGATGTCTGTAAAGGTGTGACTTTGCTGAAAAACATTTCCCGCACTCAAGACAGGAATATGGCTTCTCACTTGTGTGAAGTCTCTGATGTGTTTGAAGATTAGACTTTTGTGAAAAAACATTTCGCACACTCAGGACAGGAATACGGTTTTTCACCTGTGTGAGATTTTCTATGCACATTAAGTTCAGAGTTAGAATTGAAACATTTTCCACACTCAGGACAGGAGAAGCTCTTCCCTGTTGGAAGGCCGGCCCGGTCCCGCACAGTCTGAGGTTCCTCAGGATACAAGGAATCCGATGGTCCATCTACACTGGGTGGTGCCGGATGGACATGGAGGGAGCCGGGTTTTCTCCTGGACTATACTGTGTGATGTCCTCATCTTCTACTTTCCAGTCTGGAGACAAAGTGAGACAATCCTCGGAGGTTTTCCTCATCTCCCGGCCATGGACTAAAATACAAAGACAAAGAGGATTACTAGACAGGAGCTGATTGGTTCCCCCAAACCAGGA